GTCCCGGCATCTTCACTGTAAAACAGGAAAGGTTGTTGCCTATCGATTAGAACGCGTTTTTTTCGGAAAATATTGCGTGATGATAAATACTTGGGGGCATGATAAACTGGAGATGCAAGAGATATGAAATCTTAGCAAGATCAACAAAGATTCTAGTGAAATGAACAGCCTGAACGTTGCTGGCGTCGATCGTTCCAATGCTTGTACATATTTGTGTATTTCTATTTCTGGTCACTCTCCTCCATCATCTTCTTTTTATACATCTCCTTCTACATACCGCCTGCCAACTACGCTATCTGTTCAAATATATCGATAATCGATAAATTCCACTCGACTGTTCGGTCATTTTATACCAAAACGCGTTTGCGAACTCGGTGGATGTGAATATGAACTGAAGCTTAGAGGCAGGTCAAAGAAGGCACGACAGTTCTGCTTTGTCAATGACCAATGCTATATCTGATAACGATAAACACGCAGAATATACGCACTCAAGCGAATGAGTGAACTGCAAGATCGTATTAGTGCGACTGAAATCAGTGCTCACTTGGTACATGTGTCGACTGAATGAACTAAATAGACGATCGACCATGAAATAGAGATTCAGATTCAGACAACAGATACATGCTAGTCTTGATATATTGCACAGCCAACCGTCCTCCTCATTACTCTTGCTCCCAAGTCCCTTCTTATCCGATCCACCTGGTAGACTCCTGATGACGCACAGCACCGTCCAATCCAGCTGTTGTTTTTGGTTCGCTGGTTTATCGATTGAAATGAACACTCATGGATAGACCCGTACAATACAGATGTCTGGATATCGATGCAGGACACCAGGTCACAGGTATTATGGAGCTTGGAGGACGATGACCATGAGTTTGAGCGTTTATCATTCTCTAACAAGATCATATTCTTGGATGTGGACGTGAATTTTCAACGAGAAAATTCGGAGTCTATTGGAGGACTCGTGTTGTGGTTGAACGATTTTTAAAGAAAGTCGTTACGAATCCAAAGCTTCAGACCAAGTTCCAGATTTTGGCAGTCTCTTTTTTTCTTCTAGACCTTCAACTTGCAAAAATGCATGCGTTCCAACCAGTAGCCATCCAGACCTCTCGCGGGGACGGATACTTCATCGAAGCATTCCCTTTCAAAAATGACGGAGGTCAATCTCCTCCTAATGTAATCGCTTATGGACTTGGTGGCTCGCAAATCAGTGTTGTCTCCATGTTCGTGAACCCGTATCCCAAAAGGTGAGTTTCCTTTTAGAAGTTTCTCCTTCGCCTTCGTCGCGACTTTGGGTGATACAAGGACGACTGAGTTTTATTGGATACTGACTGAATCGGTTTTATGTTTTTCTCCCAGTGAAGCGAAAGACTGGGAACAAGTGGATATAGCCAGACTGCGTTATCCTGTCGGAACAACGTAAATTTTGATTTTCCGTGGTCGGCCATTTGATCGATTGATTGTACTACATAGCTATGCGGATATCACTGGAAACGGCTTTAACGACGGTGAGGATATTATCGCGTTATTTCTCAGCGTGCTCAACATATTGGCTGTAGTCATCATCACGGACGAATATGGTCCCTCTATGGACGACCTGTGGATGGACGGCGGGCGCATCGTCTGGCTCCAGAACCCAGGCAACTCAGAAACAGGAAATTGGCGTCAACGATTTATTGGTAGGAGCCCGAGTATGCACCGCGTGAAAGGTACGAATAGTGCACTCCCTGCAGTATCTATGAGCTAATCGTGGTGCGACAAATTAGCCGGGCATTTCACCACCAGAGACAGAATCCAGGTCGCCGGGTTCCCGATTATCGTCAGAGCGGGAGATCGAGTCTCCCCAGCCCCCGTTGTGATATATACCGCACCAGAGTTCCCAGAAGACAACGAACAAGGATGGGATGAGGACATCGCTTTTCCAGATTCGTTCAGACTCGTACATGATGTTGATAGTAACTATCATCCTTCCTGATTCTTTGGAGCTTTGAAAAATGAACTCTGTCTACTCCCCTAGTTGTAAAATCCACAAACGGCGGTTTGGATCAAATATTACTTGCAGGGCGTGAAGGTATCAACCTTGTTTGGTACGATGAGACTTGGCAGACGTGGAAGTCCAAGAACCTCGGCTCTGGGCTTGGACCGTCTCCCGAAAATCCATACTGGGGCGCAGGATGCGGTAAGTGCCAAGATCACTGTTTTTAAAGTGGACAGTATTGACGTTTGTTTGTTGGCAGTATCTCTCGGGAAAGTTGATACTGATTCGTCTGGCTATATCGGATCTGCTGAGGTCAGTAGTGCCGATGAAGCCACTATATCTTCGTAGCAGTATTAATGGAGAACAACTTGTACTTAGGGCTTCCACGGCAATCGCGTCTCGGTCTACGTCAAGGAAAAGAATGCCCCTCCCGGCGAGATCGCTAATGCTAAATGGACCCGGCACGTCTTGCACGATTTTGGTTCTCTCAACCCGAGACACGAGGGCTCTATCCATCATGTCATATGTGCAGACATTGACGGCGATGGAGTCGACGAGCTTCTGGTGGCTTGTATGGGCTCTAACCCACCATCTTGGGAGAGGACAGGTGTCTGGTGCTACAAACGTATGTTCATTACTAAAGGCTTCCTTTTCTCCTACATAGACATCAAATTAATGGCTAACTTTGCATTACAGCGGTGGATCTCCAATCCGGCAAGTTTTCTAGGTTCAAGTTGTCCGATGATTCAGCCGCACGGATTGCTGTGGGTCATTTCAGATCGAGCAACGTTCTGGTATGTGAATTTATTTGTATTCCTGACTGTATATGTGATTATTGTTTAGGACTTCGCCACAATCTCTTACTCTGTACCAGGATATTTCGAGTCACCTAGTCCTTCGGTGATCTTACATGCAAGCTCCCTCATCACTGCCAAGAGACTGAACGATGAGGTCGTTTTCCGTGTTCCGCGTCCTCAGAATACCAAACTTGCGGACGAGGTGGCGTTCCTTGACGTAGCCAGTCGCAAGCTCTCTCTTGTTGTCGTCCCTCCGTTGACGCAGTACAAAATTCAAGGGGGCGCTGGTCTCAAAGTCCTCGCTGGAAGAGGTATGTTAGAACCATCATATGTCATCATTATCCTCACCGCCCCAACATCTATACGTATGTAGTTGTTTGGACCGACTTGAACAACACCCAGCAGGAACGCACCCAGGCCACCAATACATTCGCTGTTGTTTCCACCGTCGTCGATGCGAAAGATGGCTATGTTTATACACGAAATGAAGGAGCCGTTTTTCTTTTGATGACCAGATCAGACACATCTGGTCAGCCACCATACTCTCACATGGACCAACTGAAGGCTCGAAACATCATTCCGACACACTTCTCTTCTACACTTCGGTATCTAGAGTTCCCTTGGGTCAAAGTCGAAGATCGTCCTTGGGCGAATGGGAGATTCAAGGCAAGTCGTTTTTTCGTACAAGCTTTGATGCTGCTACATACAACTTACGCATTTATATAGGATCTTGAATTCTACAACCTCACCGGGTTCCATGTCCGATACGACGATGATTCAGACGAGCAGCTCTGTCATATGCAGCTCTGGACAGCAGGCGTAGGCGTAAGCGCTGGATTCCATAATCACTTGGGAGAGCCGTTTTGTGAAATTCACGCGTGTATCGTAAATGGGACTGGAAAAGGAGGAATGCACTGGGCGACGGTTCCTGACGGGGACTTTGATCCTTCGAAGCCCGAGGCTGGGAAGACGGATAGTGTGGTTGTCCCGGATATGTACGAGCACGGTCCGTTATGGCGGACGAGGAGGGATGGACTGCCTAGCCTTAGGGATAATGGGACGGTTGATTATCCTTGGCACGGTAAGATACACATATATCCCAGCTCGAGGATCTCTGAACTAACGTTGGATAGCCTGGATCGCGGGTGGAAGATCCGGATCTTCTCCACAATCATTCGATGTATGGGTCGCCTTTGAATTTCCTCCACTTATCGCTCGTCGTGAGATACACAGTGAAGGCGTCAGCCCGAAGGATGGGGTTTATCGACTAGTGAATACATCTTCCAATATGGTCGCTGCTGTTCGCGATGGAGACTCAACTGACGGTACTCCAATTGTTACTCAACGCAGTAATGGACGATTGGAAGAGATGGTAAGTATACAGTGTTGTTATCGTTTGATCGATAGAACGTCTCAACGGCCTATTTGTTTGTCGATAGTGGCAAGTCAATTCCGTACCAGGGACCAACGTCTTCACTATGACGAACATGGCTAGTGCTTCGCAGGCAGGTGTAGCATGGCCGCCTGTTGCGAAGCAAGTTCTTGTTGGTACACGGTCCCATGCCGTTCTCAACACTACCTCGACGTGGTCAATTGTGGCAGAAGGGTCGAATGCATTCCAGAACTACCTACCTGCTTATCTTCCTTCTTATCGGTGAGTACGAAGATGATCTTGAATATTGACGCTTTCTTCGTGTTGATTTTCTCATCGATTTCTTTGCCAGGATTCAACTGGCGGGCACAGAGCTGACATGGACAACAACTGATGATCGGGTACGTTTCATTTCTTTCTCCCAGGGCTCTTGCCCTATTGTTCATTGACTTCTAACGTTATTTTGTTGTTGTATAGGTCGTACTAGCAGAAGGTTTCAGTCACTGTACACCAGTTTGGAGACTTGTCCAAGCACCTCCTTCGAGTGTCTAGAAGGAGGTTGCGGACTGATACATATTGTCACTCATTGTATGTACAAATGTATTAGTTTATCGCATGTCTGGATTATCTTGTCCTTGTGTTTTTTTGTCGACTACCCCCAATTTTCATCATTACATCTACTTTTACTATGCGTCCTTTCCCCAACTGTCCTAATCATAACTGCTGCAAGTCCCTTGGTCCCAGAGCCTGAGATAGTGCTTGATATTGAGCTCATTCGTTAACAGCACGTCGGCATTTTACAATATATATCACCTTATAAGGTTATGTACATGTACATTGGCCAATGCTCTAAGGCGCTATAGCCAAGTGGTTACGGCGACAGATTAGAATAGTCATTATCAGATCTGTTCCTCTTTGAGGGCGCAGGTTCAAATCCTGCTGGCGTCGAGTCATGGTTCCTCTTGAACTGATTTCTATTGCTTTTTGTCGGGCCCAATTTCGTATTGGAGGACAGTCCTGGAATGATTTATAGTGTGTAGCCCACAGGCAGAAGACGAGGGAGGGAGGAATGCCGCAGGTTTCGTACCTTACACAAGTAGAACTGGACTTGGAAAACAGAGAACCACAGGACAAGCAAAAGTGCAAAGGGACGGTGACACGATAATCCCTGAGGGGACCTGATCTGAGCGCAGAGGCCGTCGAAATTCACTATAGTTCTCCGCCCAAAGCCTCTCGATATCGAGCTATAACGACTAATAGTACTCCGAGTGGAAAAAAAATCGACGAATGACCGGATGTGTTCCGCGGAAGGCGGCCGTGATCGTCGTGATCGGCCCGTTATCCGAAATCCACATCCGCCGTTAACGATGATTCTTGCTATAAACGCAGCTTTTTGCTTTCTTCCGTTGCCTTCTTTCCTTCTTCCTCTTTCTCTTGCTCTACATCTCTCTGCTCTACTAAAACTGACTTCCAATGTCACTCCTCGTACCAAATGAATTATCCCTTCAATCAAAAGCTGCATACCTTCGCACTCTTCCGTCAATTCGTGAACGCTGCACTCGTGTCTTTGAGCTTGCCCAACAGGGCAAGTTAGAGTACTTTGATTATCATGAGGAGAAGGAAAAGCAGGTTGTTGAGTATTGTAGAAACATAATTACCGTGAGTCTTGGTCTCAGAAGGAAATCGAGCTGATGGAACGTGTTTGTAGCGCGATTTCGGGACGGATTACAGTAGAGTGAGTCTTCTTCGTTAACATTCCATATCATCAACATATAACCTTTTGGTCGAATAATCTATCTCATCGCTCTCTTTGACTATCCATCTAGATCCCACCCCACGGTCGCTGGCGCCACTTTGACCTCGGACTCAACCGCGTCGAACGTCTCCTAAACAAATGGACAACTGAACTCGGGACAGGTGAAAATGCGAAGAAAGAAAGCAGTAAACGACTCGTGGACTTGTTCGTCGTTTCTGTGCTGTTGGATGCTGGCGCTGGGAAAGATTGGGTTTATCACGAGAAGGATACTGAAGGGAAATACAGCAGATCCGAAGGATTGGCGATATGCAGTTTGCATATGTTCAAGGATGGACTGTTTTCTGGAGAGGATCGACAAAAGTGTAGAGTCGATGGTACGTTAGTGATCGCTGCGAATTGATTTCTAGTATTCTTATTCCATCCACCCAACTATTCCCTCCGATCCAGCAACTGGCCTTTCAAAAATAACTGCCACTTCCGTCGCTCAACACATGCAAGTCTCTGAGACAAACCCCATTGTCGGACTCGAAGGACGCACTTCTTTGCTCTATAATCTCAGTACCGCGCTGAAATCGAGCACAGAGTTCTTCGGAGAGGAAGGGAGACCAGGAAACATGCTTGGTATGTATTTCTCCAAGTTCACATCACTCACCGCAGTATTATTTGTATTTATCTGGCATCCGACAGACTTCCTCGAGAGGCAATCCAAACTTTCCGAGACCGGCACCCGCCTCGTTCCACTCGCTGCACTTTGGAACGTTCTCATCGACGGATTGAACCCGATTTGGCCCGCGTCCAGAACGAAACTCGGTGGAGTATCATTAGGTGATGTCTGGCCTTGCGAAGCCCTAAAATCAACATCGTTTAGCGAAGGCGATGATCTCGTCCCGTTCCATAAACTAACTCAGTGGTTGACATACAGTCTCGTCGAAGCGATCACGCATACCATGAAGTGGGAGTTTGTTGGACTGGAAGATATGACAGGGCTTCCGGAATATCGAAATGGTACGGTCTTACTCTGATCTTTTCTCCCTCTACAAAATTCTGAGTATTCTGGGACGTAGGCGGTCTCCTCATTGACCTCGGCGTCCTCACACTCAAACCGAATGCTCTCCCTATCGACGAAACTTCTGGTCTACCTAAAGCAGCTCCAGACGATCCCGCGGTGGTGGAGTGGCGGGCGATGACGGTTGTAATGCTGTGAGCAATCTATGTTTGTCTGATTTCAACATTATTCCTTATGTACGTTCTCTCTACACACACACTCTCTCTACTAGTGACCGCATAGCCACCGCCCTTCGCACCTCTCTCAACCTCTCTGCCTCCGATCTATCTCTTGCCCAGGTTCTGGAATCTGCTACGTGGAAAGGCGGGAGGGAGATTGCTCAGACAAAGAGAGGCGAGAAGGGAGGAGGCCCACCGTTGGAACTGGTTAGTGATGGGACTGTTTTTTAAGAGAATCATGAGCAGCGGCTTTCGAATTTATTCAATCTACCAACTGAACTTGATTCAAATATGATGCACCTTTTGGATTCTGTTCACTTGTGGCTTGTAGATGAACCATTGTGTTATACAAAGTGATTTTAGGAGAGACAAGTCCCAATCAAGATGGATCCTTCAATTAAACTGGTCAGGCGCTTCAGACCGATGGCGTTAAATCATCTCTTTCTAGCTTCCTCATCGTTCGACGAATTCACTGTCGATGAAGAGAGGAACGCAGATATAGCGAGTACCGAGAATGAAGGTGGTTAATGAGGAACTTGAAAAAGGGTAGAATTCAAGCCAGGTATAAGGATCCTTCTTCAAGGAGAGAGGGTATAGTTATCGGTCTGTCAATGTTGCTGTTTTTCTTCAAATTGGTCCCAGATTCCTAAATGCTCTTCGTTTTCAGTAACCTATATTCAGGATTGAATGTGGACAACGTAGCCTACTGAAATCCCGATCGAACAGCCCGCCCAAAAGCTTGCATCCACACTGCTTTTCGCCTGTCATATACAACGTGCCTTCGAGCTCGTTCAGGTGAGTTGTGCAAGGAATTTGTCGTTCTTCTCTTCCTCCCGTTCCTTGTTATCACATTTCATCTCTGGTTACTACCACTAGATCCGCACGCAGTGATTGCTCGGCTGTTTGGGTTTGACCTCTAAATCAACCGCGACGCACTCACCCTCGGGTTCTCTGCTATTCCACCCACTGGCTGTGTAGAAATAACCACCTTCTTCGTCGCACAGCACAACACACACAATTTCTCTAAGACACTCAGTCTCATTGAATGCAAGCCCCCGAAAATTTTAAAGAGGAGCGGCGCGTGGTACGGCTTGTTATCAACCATATAGTAATGCTATATCCCATCACACCCTTGCCAGCCTGCATTGGCAATGATTCTTTGTGGAAGTGTGTTCGTCAGGTAAGGGGGGCTGGTCCGATCCTATAGGCTATGCCATAAACTTACCCAATGGTTATCGCAGCCTGGTCAAAACAACTTTCGTGACCGGGCTTTCGGAAAACTGGCATTGTTTTCTTCAACAAAACCTTCAATCTAAGGTAGAGCTCAAGCAAGTTCTGCACACGTCACCTGACCGGCGTGACATGACCTTCAAAAATTAATAGCAGCCGTTCGTCGACATATACAGAAAATTGGCTCCCAAGGAAAGTTCTGCTAAAGAGACCCAAAACTTTCTGCGCGAACCGATTTCGAGAAGGCGGAACTATGAGACTGCTATTAATCTTTTTGTCGATCAAAATAGCAGTAGGTCACAGTCACCCGACGTGTGCGGATCTTGCTTGAGCTCTACCTTACCTGAAAGCAGCTCTGGACAGTCCGTGGTGAAGAGCAATGGTAGCTGTCACGAAGTGAGTAATTCTCTTTGTTCTCTCTCCTCTGTTGTCTTAGATGGAATACGAGTTCGGAACAGAGTGTAGCCTACCTGAAGAATCATCGATCATCTGTCATGAACAGGGTTCGATTTTATTGAAATGTGCAGAAAATAACCTGGGTTTTGAGCAAAATCATTTTGTCAAATTAAGATAGCTATCGAACTATATATAAACATGAGGCTTTTGAATTTGATGATTACAGCGTATTCAAAAAACCTTGTCAGTAGCGTAAAAAAACAAGATAAAATAAAATAAAATTGAAAAGGTACCCGACGTTTTAGCCGACCACTTGGCGAGCACGCTGTCACTCGCGCCTTTCGACAATGTAGTATGATCGCGGTTCTTTTGCTTCTGAGGTAGGACTAACAGATGCTGATGC